CCCCAAAACCCCAAAACCCCAAAACCCCTTTAACAAAGAGATTTATGGTAAATATCAAATAAAAAATAAAATAGTAATGTGGGAATACGGATTATTTCACCTTTTTGTTATCCTCACTTCATATTACCTCTTTGGAGTTCTATATGGAGTCTGATTTCTGATAGTATTTGTTCTTGCAGCAGACAAAGCTCTTTCAGCTATTGGTTACTATCGACTAAGTTTTGGAGACTTATCATTAGCGTATGAATATCCAGGAGCACTGAATAATTTAGCAGGATATTTCATAATGGAGAAAGTTGACTATCCAACCTTTAAGAACCATTTCTACCAGAGAGCTGTTCTCAGAATTCCCAAACTCAGGTCCGTCCTTGTTTCAAAACTCGGAGTCTATTTCTGGAAAGATGTCGGCCCTCAGGCGGGAGAAGGCCAGCTCGTCAAGTCTTCGAAGTCTATCAAAACTGAGCAAGAGTGACTCAAGCATTGTGAAGACATCGCCAACACGAAGATGGACTACAGCAAGCCTCTGTGGAAGATGTCTCTTGTGGAAGACTATTCAGCAACTGAGTCTGTGGTCTTCGTATCTTTACACCATTCATTCACAGATGCAGGAGGATTTCTGAGTTTGATTTCAAGTGTCAACGATGAAGGAAAAAATGTCAAAGTAGATAAAACTTTTCCTAAAGTTAGTATTATTATTAGACTGCTAACACTTCTACTTGGACCGCTTTATTGTATTTATCTTTCAATTGACAATGGGAAAATGTCCACTGACAATAAAGCTGAAGCTGTCAATGAAATTAAGGGTTTTAACAAAAGAGAAACCCGCTTGTACTCAGCCAAAAGAAGAGTCCCATTCGATCAAATAAGAAAATGCTACAAAAAGCTATGCACTGATCGCCAAAGAGTCAGCTTCAACGACTACATCATGGGAGTTCTCTCCGTTTCACTTGGCAGGTGGTACAAGCTCCATGGAGTCGAAGGAGCTCAAAGATTACAAGCATTTTGTTCAGTCAACATGAGGCCGCCTCCCACAAAGTTTGAAGAAATATCCATTGAAAATGATAGCGTAGGTAAATTGAAATTATCATCAGGTTCTCACTTTATTTATAGGAGTAAAGTTTGCTATACCAATCAAAACTGACATAATGGAAGCAATCAATGATTGCAGAACAAATTTTCATCAATTCTTTAATCCATTCGCTTTACTGAGCTACAAGGCAATGGGATATATTGTAGGCTTAGTTCCAGAGTGGATTGGTCGAAAAATAATATATGATATTCTTTCAAACGTAGAAATGGTCTACTCCAACGTCCCATTCTCTTCAAACCCTTGGTATCTGTGCAATAAGGAAGTGACAAAAATTGGAGCTTTTGCTAGTATCTACTACAACTGGAAGGTTTTTTTTGCTGCTATGACCTACAGAGACGAACTCAGACTTACAATATCTGCCAACGCCCAGCTGAAGATGGACCCTCAGCTCTTGCTTGACAATATCCTAGATTTCATCGAAGACGATATTCGACAAATTGAAACTGTCAATGGTCATTTAAAGACAGAATAAAACATTCAATTGGAAACTACTGCTTTGGGGTTTTGGGGTTTTGGGGTTTTGGGG